TTCCTGGGTGGTGTTGGTTCTTGCTTCCTGGACATGATCAAAGGAATTAGAAAACATGTGGGGTTTCTTAATTGATTAAAAAAATAAAAATAGGACAGCGTTTTCAAGAGCTGCAGAACTAATGACATCTACTGATCTCTTGAGAGTAAGATCCCATGTGCATGAAGTCCCATAAGGGGTGAGCTGACCATGCGTTGCTCTCCTCAGTGGGGTATTGATGGCTTATATTTAATATAGTTTAAAAAAAAAAAAAAAAAAAGCCAGGGCCTGTTCTTCAGTCTTGAGACCAGCTGATGACAGAGATCACACCTAAGCTTTACAACCCTCCAAAACAGTCTGGTTCCCACTCCATGCATTTCTCCTACCTGTCTCCAACATTGTTTGGGGCAGCACTATCTGGCCCATGGCAAAAATATGCCACGGACCATGCTTATACTTGAGCAGTACAGAGTATTATCATGCACCAAAGCTCAGACATGTGGCCCAGGCCTCGCATTTATTTAGTGTCAATGTAACTACAGGACCATTTTCCTCTGTGCAGTCCTGGTAACTTACAGAAATTTTAGCTCTATTCTAGAAGAAAACTCAAGTTGGTTTTCTTTGGGAGAGACAAAACCCTTTATTATACAAAATACCATAGCTGGAAGAAGATTTGGGATACTCATCCATCCATCAGATCTGAAACCGAAGCAGCAAACTTAGGCCAAGTGAAAGCTGGGAAAAAATTGCCCTGTGTTTAAGTTACTTGTGCTAACTCTGGAGAAAAGTGACATTCCCAACAAAGCCTCAGTAACCAAATAAAACCTCATCAACAGCTTTCAGTATATTTTGTCTCCTTTTTACCATCATAACTCTCGCTAAGTATAAAATTCAGACCAAATTTTTTAAGAGACAGATTCACAACAGCTTGTGCATCAGGACATGTTTGGCAGTACATGTCGGACAGGATTTTTCTGCCTCCTAGAAAAGTTCTGCTAAATATTCATGCATTTCCCATTGAAAGAAACCTGATTCTTGGCCAAACCAAAGCTTGTTAGCAGACAGAACAGGAGGGCTCCTTCCTCCCTGCTGCACCTCTGATTCCCTCCAGTTTTTCTTCACACCTGGTCTCTGCAAAGAGATACTCTCAAATCCAAGTTACTCCACTTTGGAAATGGGTTATAACCTGAGACATTGCCAATTCATTTCATTTTTTTGAAAGGCTGTCTTAACTTTTCTGTAGAATTTATAGTTTGTGGGAGTTTCTTATAGTGTTCAACACCATCTGTCTATCAGACATGGCTGAAAAATATCTGTGTTTTTAAAAATGCTCAAAACAAAGCACGAATTTTTCTTTTAACATGTTTTGTTCTTTTGACAGATCTCACCATTATATTTTCTATTAACAGGAAACACATTTTATTTTTTTCAAAGAACCAAGAGTTGTTGGAAATACTAAGAAATAATTTTGAGATGAAAATGAGCAGAGGGAATGTTATTGAAGAATTTAATGTCTAAGAACATTTTCATTAAGAACTGTTTTGCAGTCCTGTTTTCTGCTGAAGTTTTTTACAGAGCCGTAAACACGATGGGGACACAGAGTAACGGGAAGGGCTCTGATTTTTCTGGGTACTCAGGACCAGCTGCTGAGGAGCTATTTGCACTCAGGGTCAGGGCGGGTATGTGGGGAACAGAGATGGGAATGAGCTTCCATGCAGGCGGGAGCTGTCATAGGAAGCAGACTGTCAGCACCTGCTTCAGAAAGGATGACAGGAGAATTTGTGTTGGAAGGGGCCTTGGAGGTCTCTAGCCTAACCCCCTGCTTAAAGCAGGGGCAGCTCTCAGGTCAGACCAGGTGCCTCAGGACTTCATCTAGAACACTCTTGAAATCCTCCCAGGATGGAGACTGCTCTCTGGGCCACCTGCTTCAATGCCTGGCTGTCCTCATGGGGAAGAAGCCCCTCTTTATATCCAGTCCAAACCTCTTCCCTTTCAACTTAAACTCAGAGTCTTTCCTCTTCCCACCAGGCAGCACCGTGAATAGCCTGGCTCCGTCTTCTTGATGACCTCCCCATCTACAGGTATTGGAGATGACCTTAGGCATCCTCCACTCAAAGCCATCCCTTCTCCAGCAGAACCAGCCCAGCTCTCTCAGCCCCTCCACTCCAGCTCAAACTGTCATGCTGGCCCTACACTGAACTTGCTCCAGTTTCTTGTACTGGGGGACCCAAAGCTGGGCACAGTATCCAGACATAGGGTAACACGTGCCAAGAAGCTGTCTCCTAAGTAACTGACCTGTGACAAGCCTGTCATGGTCTGAGAGATGTGTGAGATGTCACTTTATCCCCCACTCTCTCTGTCCCTCTACCAGTGGCTGCTGCCCATAACCCTCAGTGACAGAAAATACATACATGCACGTCAGCTACGCTGGGGCAAAGTGGGCTTGAGAAATAGCAGTAATGAGGAACAGCAGAAGGCCATCTACCTGTTCTGCTCTGCTCCCCCATGTATGTATGGAGTATGGAGAGTAGAAACTTCCAGTGGGCAGGAGGGCTGGAAAATATCAGTTCTCATGTAAAGTACTTTGGCCACAAACAAAAAGCACTTCCCCAAAGGAGGTTGGATTGCTATTCCTGTTCTACAAATCAGGCAGCTGAGGGGAAAGGGAAGTGTTTTGACCGACTTCATCTAGCGGCTGCTGGCAGAGGCAGGCAGAGGCTCTGAGCGCTACCCACATCTGGTGCCATCAGGGCACCAGGTACCAGTGTCCAGGGGACCTGGGTTCCCGATGCCTGTGCTGCCTTTCAGAGCGGGGGCCAGTCCCAGCCTCCTCCAGGTGCTCCGCTACGCGGTGGCAAATTCCTACGTGGAAAACAGGCTGGTGACAGTATAACAACATCCTTCAAACTGTGCAGATTTATGGCTTCGGAGCAGAAGTGCTGATGAGAAATACCATGTATTAGTCATAATCTTATCAAAAATATTTTATTTATGAAAGTAACAATTATACTATACAACCTATATTGGAAGCACATTGAATAATTGCTATAATAAATACAGGCAATTAATTCAATCTTTTTATAGAATGAGAGGATTTATTTGACATTTGAATGTTAACCCAAGCTTTAACTTACATCATAAATAGTTAAAAGGCATAGTCAAGTTTTTTTTTACTGTTTGCTTTTTTTTAATACTGTTCTATTTTGTAATCAACATGAATCAACTCTCCAATCATTAACACAATATTAGTATGACTTTCAAGCAATCATGTACCTCAAGATAACCAGACAAATAAGGTAGTGTGTGTGCAGTTCATTCTACAGCAGAATCTATTCATGTCTGCGTAAAAAGAGAAGCTGAAAATGCTTCTACGTTCTTTAAGCATCATATGCTGATTTCTGCTTTACCACAGTGCTTTTAATACCAGAATCTAAAAAGGGCATGTATCTGTATGCAGCTGGCTTTCTGTTGCTCTTTTTAAAGTATATTAGGGCTCAATGCCACATTCCATTGGCTGGTGAAGGATTGCAGAATTCAGTCCTGAATATTATTTCTCAAAACCATGGTCCAAAATAAATGTCCAGGACTGATTATTAGGCACCAAGGAAGTGATGGATTTGCTTAGACTTGATGTTTTCTCAGAAAAAAATTGGCTTCTTTTCTGGTAGATATGCTTTAGTCAAATGTAATTTATTGGGCTCAGTACTGGGGTCTATATTACGCTGGATGGCAGAGAAGATGATGTTTCTGTTTTCTGTAAACTGTATGAAGGGCACTGCAGAAGTTTTATAGTAAGACACCTACATTTTGAAAGTGTTGATGTGTTTTCCTTCCACGTATTTTTTTTTAAACTCAAAAATCTGAACCGTCATCTCCTTGGTTCTACCAGATTATGAACAACTACTACCATCGCTGAAGTCAACAGTAGTTTTGGGTGTCCAATATTTCTGCAGATCAGAAGCTTTTAACTCCTCAGGTCCCATGTGAAATCAGTGGGAGCTTTCCTATAGCAGTATCTTCTCCAGTGGCACAGAAGCCTGCCTCGACGTATGGCTGTTGCGCATGCCAGGGATATTATGCTCTCAGCAGAGAAGTAAATTTCCCTTTTACAATGTTATTCAAAACAAAACCCCGAATTGCACATATCTACCCCTTTGGCCTTTTTTACGCACAAATATGCTTGTATTCAAAAACTGACAATGTTGGGCCTTTCCTAATAAATGCCTTCAAAGAGCACATTTAAATGCTTTTTCACAGAAATAACCATTCATCAGTTGCAAAAATGCAGAGAGACTTTTTATTCTTTCTGTTGTGAACAAAATCAATTCAGCACAAGTTTTGGGGGAGGAAGTACGATTATTTTTTCCCAAATGTATTTAAAAAGGCTAAAGAACAAAATGTCGGGGAGGCAGCTTTTTTTTTGGCAGATAGTAAAATATAAAATATGTGATTTAGAAAAAAGTTGGCTTAAAAATACACACACACAAATAATACAATAATATAAAAATACAGCTCAGCCAATGGCCTCTTAAAATTTACCTTTGGCATTACATTTGGCAGCCTAACACAAAAGACCCTTCCTATGAACAGACCTATAAAAAAGAAAAGTTCATAAATTAGGTTGCAAGGGGTTGTAAGATCCTTTTCTCGATTCTCCAAACTCCTTTCCTTCCTGTCCACACATATAAGCATGACCAGTGAGGTATATAGAACATAACACTGTCAGGCGTATGCACAATAAAAAAGTGCATAAACATAGAAGTTCTCCCATTTTCTTGCGAACAGGTCGAAACTGTGTGGTTTGCAGTTTTCCCCCCCTTAGAATTAAAAAAAAAAAAAATAACCATTTTTTATTGTTTTTTTTCTTACTTTGGCAGGATGAAAATGAACCCAGAGGAATATAAATGTCCTATTCCCAGCAGCAATGATCCATTTCCCTTGGCAACATTCGTCTGATGCCACAAATACTACAAGGTCGTTGGGTTGCTTTACAACTCTCTGGGTAACTTCCCATGGAAACATCATACGTCTAGCACCATGTCATAGTGTTGCTCTTTCTTCCGCCTGCCACATTTGGTGATAAGAACCAAGTACAAAGTCAAAAGCAGAACCCAGTAACATGCATAGAGTATTGTGCCAATGATGAGAACTGTCTGTTTTGACTCAGAAAATGGCTTTTTTGATTCCTTGTAGATAGTGAAAATTACGCCACCTAGGAGGATTGTAAACCAAATGGAGACTGGAATGAGTCCTATAAAATTAACTACAATGGTTTTTCTTCCTGACGTGCCCCACCCTGCTTTGTTTATCGTGGCAATTGCAAACATCTTTGCTGGCAGTAAACTTGACATGTACAACACTGAGTAGAGTGACATGAAAACCATGACAATGTTGCCCCTAAGGCAGCTGGCAAAAGAAGACTTTATCAGGCCTACTAACTGAACTGTCAATAAGAAGAGGAGGATGTTCCAGATTTTTCCCCTGTAGAAGAGCTGAATGACTGTGGCGATTAGGAAGAAAGGAAAGAATCCAGTGATTACAGCTTCATAGGTCATCCACAAATGGTGCTTGTGGAACCACATCGCATTATAAAGCCACTCTCTAAAGTACGATTTACTCCAGCGGGTCTGCTGATTCAGCCACCTGAGATACTCTATCGGTGTTTCGGTAAGGCACTTGGATCTAGCCGTGTATTTTGTTGCATAGCCCAGACTTAACACTCTGTTAGTTAGATGCCTGTCATCTCCGAAGCTGCACTGGGAGCCCATAAATTCTTGATTGTACCAATCTTCCACAAATTCATGGAGTAAAGAGTTTCTGTACATTCCCAGAGGTCCGCTGATGCACTGTACGCAGCCGAAATAGGACTGACAGGCTCTTTCTATGTTAAATGCCATCCAGTATCTCACACTGCTCAGAAAGGAGATCCAGGAATCGTATTTGTTCAAAATCTGCAAAATAAAAAAAGTTTTCATTTCAGATGAGCTCTTGAGACAGAAAATATATGCACTGGATCAATAAGGAATGTGCAGAGCTAGAGCACCATTAGCCGAAATGCAGGGGGAACCTCACTCCTGTGTCCAACTTACAGTGAGTCCAGGAGTTACCGATACACTCCAGGACGTTGACAGGAAGGGCAAGATTAAGCCTTCAGAAGTCTGTTCCACCAAAATGTTCTTTTTCCTCACAACCTTTCCTGTTCTCCACCAAAAAACTTCTTCTATGGCTCATTCTTCCCTTCCCTTCATCCCCAGTTAAGGACCTGCTGGACTCAGCCTCTCCCGAGAGGAGATGGTGGAGACCCAGACGTGGCCTCCTGCTTCTCTGCCACCCACCCACATCTTTGGGACTCACAGGAGTTCTTCCAGCCTTCCTAAAGCTATTCCAGAGCATGAGAAAGGCTGAGCACACAGTCTTTGGCCTAAATTTTTGGTATCATAAGGCTGGCCCTAGAGGTTTGACCCTGGACTATGTCCCCATATTTGACATTAGGCCCACTGAGGAACAACCTTTTCTGATTCATCGTTGCAGTACCAGCCCTGTTATGTTACCCCAGGACATACTCTAATACTCCAGTACAGTCTTGCTTCGGCCCACACAAAGGTCTCAGTCTTTCTTTTCTGTACTCCCCAAAACTCACCTGAAGCTCAGGCCTACACTTAAAATACAACACAGACATAGTCTAGGAGTCTGAATGCTCAATAGAGCTATGAGCCTGTGCAGAAGCCCAAGTCCATGGCTTCACATCCAGGTTCTCAGCACACTCCTTGTCCTGGGGAATGCGGCAAGGAAGCGTGTAGCAGGGCAGCTGTGCCAGCTCTGCAGCAGTATCTTCCCATTGTGGGGATTTCAGGGGAATCGTGGCCTTCTATAATTAGAGAGCATTTTCCTGAAACTAGAAAAAAAATAGTCTTTTGCTCTGATGGACCTAATTTCTGTCAGGTTTGAAGACCAAGGGCCAGTCTGTTTCAATTCCAGAATATTTTAGAGCAGCAGGGCTCAGGGATAGGCTCAAGCTTGGCTCAGATTATTTGGTGTATGCTGGGAAGTGAACTGGGGGGAAAAAAAGAGCCCAGAGCCTCCATTCTGCCACCTTTCCTCCCAGAGGACACATGTCCTTCCCACCTCTCTCTGCATGCTTATGAACCTTCACTGTCATAGCTGAACCCGTGCTGCCTCCTTCCAGTTGCACTCACATGTGCCTGGCATCTCACATGTGTAGGGTGAGTGTAACACCTGGTTTGTGGTCCATCCAGGGCCGCAAAGATATTCAGGCTTCTGTGGGAATCTTAATTTCTGGAGTTAAGAGCCACATGCCTAAAATACTTCTGACTGTTGGGGCGTTCATTAGTAAGTGCTTGCCCCTGTAGATGGCCCTTTCTCCTCTGCCTCACATAAAAGTCAAACTGAGTATGGAGGACCGATCCTAAGGCCAACTGAAATATTCATATGCATTTTTCTTTATAAATTGCAGTGAAGCAATTGTGCCAAAATGAATTAACAGCCTTTTGCTGTAGTTGTCAGCCAAACTTGTCAACACTGGAAATCCTAAGAGAAGTGGAGCTAGGCTGACTTAGGGCTTCCCATTGCCCTGCCTGACAGAGACGCAGAGGAAACCCAAGGATACGCAGAGTGCATAGTGCACTGCATTTCAAAAAGGCTTTTATTCCTAACGATCTTGGCTGCCAGTGGTAACATAACTGAAGTGCTTGGGGTGCTGGACTTGGCTTTGGCAGACCTGTTCTCAATTCCTTGGTCCTTAGCTTTTCTTTGGTGCCCTGAGAAAGCAGTTATACCCAGAGACTCAAAGATGCAACAACAGTCCTGACGATGCCAGTGCCCCACTCTTCAGGTATATTGGGGAGAACAATATTTGTTTGCTTTCTATGGGTCTTAAAACCATAGAGTGCTCACATCCAAAAGTTTCCATTCAACAGGCAGAAGGGTTAAGGTATTGTACGAGCCTCTGTAATGGTATCACAGTATATTCAACCCTCTTCCAGGAAGGGAAATCTGTTGCAGTGCGAATAGTTGCTGAAACCCTTGTTAATCTGCAAATCATCATACTCACCTGCACATCACCTCCGACTCCTCCAACCATCGGATCTTCTTCTAAAACCTTTACCATCTCCACTGATGAGGCTGGATCAAGCATTGTATCTGAATCACAGACCTGAGAGTAAGACAAAACAAGAACAAAAATGGGTTAAGGAGTACACTAGAGAAGAAAATAAAAATCACACAAGTGATTGTAGTGACTCTGAATGCATATTCTCCCGAATGCAATTAAATTTCACTTTGGAGTCTGCATGGATACTTTTGTTAAAGGCCACTTGGATGAGGCAGCAAGAAGTGGTGCTGAACGGAACAGGGTGCTTGTTTGGGCTGCGCACGCAAAGAGTCCTCTCTTCTCTATCAGTGCTATGTGTTTTACCGGCACACTGGGCTGGCTTCTTTGAGGAAGAGATCCACTCTCAGAGCTGGGGTGCTGCAGAGCCAGGCAATGTTTGTGGGTGTGGGGCAGGTTCCTACTGAGCCCTGACATTGGGTTTCCCCACACCGGCTGCATGGTTGTAGCACCCTGGTCAAATGTTTCCCACTGCCATATGGGGGAAGGAGCAAAGAGTTAAATTCCAGATATTAGTTATAAAAAAGAAAAAGTCAGCTAGGAGTCTGAGAAGAAACCTAATAGTCCTTTCACTCACATACGGCTTTAGTAATTCATGTAAGATATGTATTTTGGATTCCAGAACAAACTCATTTTTAATTTTAGATGCACAGTGTGTTATTAGTAGTGCAGGGCTTTGACATTTGATATATAGAAATGATTTTCTATTTTCCTCTGGCATTCTTATAAAAAAACACGTAAGGCCAGAAGGAGCGAGTCCTGAAGTGCAGTACTGCATGAGACCAGGGCAAAAATAAACGACACACACAAGGCGTTTCAGCCACACAAACCCTCCTAGTCAACTAAGCACTGTGTACATTAGGAACTGGCTTTCCCCCGGAGAGTAGGAGGAGGGCTCAGACAGGCTGGCCGGTCTGCAAGGCAGCTGGCACCGCTTTCCTTTGCTGTGAGGCGAATGTCATGGGCTGCAGCCTGTTTAAAACAAGCGGGTGTCTCCCGGTCACAGCTGCTGCTGAAAGCAGTGCCTCCCCCATCATGTGTACACTCGTTTCACAGGCTCCCAGAAACTGGAGCAGAGGAAGCTGTCCCAGAACCCCCCCTGGCCGGCTGGATCCTGACCTACACATTCTCATACTGCTTCCAGTTTATCCCCACGTTGCATTCCTGTGATTTCAGATGAGGACGGTAGGGACAAAAGTCAGTAGCTCCGCGTGAATAACCTATTAAGTCAGATTCTGGTGAGGCTTCATATCGGGTATCCTAATTCTGGTGTCCTTTCATCCAACCTTTCAATTCAGCCTAAGCCCCCTCACTCCAGGGGATTGGAAACCATCACATCTGGGCTGTGAAGGGGGAGGAAAGCATTTTAGGGTTCCATTATGGACCAGACTTGAGTGGGGAGGTTACCTGGGATGGTTGGGCTGCAGAGCTCAGGATGCAGCTGAGTGCCTGCCAACACGTTCCCCTCCATGCTCACTCAGAGGGGGCTGAGAGCAGAAAGCTGATGAAAGCTCTCATATTTCCATCAGGAGAAAAGCTACAAGCATCTCCAACTCCTGCTAACTCAATGCATCCAGCTCCTCTCCTCAAAGGACTCATCCCAAGGAGCACCTTTGTAACCCAGCCAAAGGTGTGCCTCCAGCTTTGGTGGAAAGCTGTCATCAGTGACAGCATTTGATAGAAAGGGAGCAAAACTATTCTGCTGAAGAGGGGAAAGGATGCCTATATTTCTATCTGGGTCTTCCTGGACAGACTTGTTGCTGAGTGTTTTGCACAGGGTTATCTGTAGTTTGCTAAGCAGCCAGGGCTCAGGCAGTTGTACTCATCCCATTTCTCGTGGCCACGAGTGGTGGGCTGGGATCAGCCCCCTCCCCAGCCCCTCTGCTTTCCCTCCAGTGCCTGTCACTTGATGCAGCTGAGCAGCCCCCACACTGCCAGATGCATTTATCTATAGCAGAAAGACCTGCCCATGAACAACATCACTAATCTGAGATGAGGAATCCTGAAAACACTGGATTTATTTACAAATCACCAACATGTGTCCTGGGCATGTCAGCACAGCAGACATGTCTGTGTTCCTGGGGCAAACCTGAGTAGCCATCATTTTCCATCTAGATGAGGTTTTTGCAGGTGGAAAGAGGACATGCCCAGAGAAAGGCAGACACTTAGGAACCCAAATAAAACACAGCGAAGTCTGCCCAGCACAGCCCAAGAGCCAATTTGCCATCTTTCCATGTAAGGGCTGAGTGACCTAGAATTTACTGCCTTGGGTCACAGAGTTGCATGAAAGGGGCATTCGACCTTAAACGAGCTGTTCAGACACTCGTTATAACCAGTGGCAATTTATCCAAGCTGCTTGGAGACATTCAGGCTGCGCTGGGCTGTCCACATGGGTACCTCCATCAAGCCAAGACGAATTGTGCCCTGGCTGCCCTGACCAGCTCTGCACTGACTACATCTCCCAGTTTCCCTCCTCTACCCGATTGCTTGCACCCTCCTAACCTCCTCCAGGTCAGAAATAAGCCTTCACAGCAGTTTCAGGTATTTAATGAAAAGCCACTAATGAGCAACAGGTTATCTGCATTGGTCTGACTGCTTATGATTATCAGCCCATAACCCTGAGGTGTCTTTTAAGAACCACGAGGTCCACAGTTTCAGGGGTAGGCAATGGTGTTGACTGGTCCACTTTTTAAGTGCTTGACCATTGATGCAGATCGCTCAGCCCATAAAATGTTAGGCCTGTTTAAATTTACCGTGGGTACCCCCCAAAAAACATTTGAAATATCTAAACCTTCATTCATTCATAAAATAGAGCCATATTTTAGCTGCATTGCATCATGGCTGTGTAGTAGCCAGGGCCACCAAGGTGCTGCATTTCTAACATAGATGTGACTGTAGATGTGACTGTGGCATCAACCATTACTGCAGCCCTTGCTGGCTGCTTCCAGTCCCTGACACATTCATCGGGACGTCTGAGCCAGGTCAGGAGTGTTAATTGACTGAAAGACCAGAAATATCTCTTCCATTTTATCAATTCATGCTATGGCTGTTGAAATAGAAACACTTTTTCCAGGTTCCCTGGACAAATGCAAGAGCTGGACTGAGGGAGGAAAGTTGCACGGAATCTGTTTCCTCTCTGCCTTCTCTCTTTGCAATCTGATATTTCTGTGTGAAGTGATTATAAAACCATGCTAATAAAGAAACCCGGCATTTTTATCCCATCATAGTCCCTCACAGCACAAACCCAAAGTGAGACAATGGAGAGCTTAAGCCCATTGTTTTCAGAGAATAAATCAGTTTAAATCTTGGAAGTGGTAGGGGATGGGTTTTAAATCTTTGCCTTACTCTTCCAGCTGCAGTAACAGAGCGATTCCCATCACTCTTCAGTTTCTGCTGTGTGTGGAGGGCTCGCTGCTCTCAGCCCAGCTACGGGCAGCCTCTCCGCATTTCTTGGACACTGTGCCTGTGGATGCTGTGCCGTGCTGTGCGGAGCGTGCACCCACCCACCCACACAAGGCTGGGCATGGACCCCAGAAACACTCATGGCTCAGCCATGCAGCTTCGCTGAGCCAGCAGAGAGCATCTTGTGGGGAGCTGCTGCTCTACCGGAGGAGACCACTGGGTGCTCTGAGGTCAGGAGAAGGTAGGAAGGGCTAAGGGTGGTTAATTAGGGAGATATCTCATATTCAGTGGTGTTAGTCAGATAACCCTTGCCGGCCTTGATCAATAAGGAAGGATCCTCAGTGTTCAGCCAGAGACCCCGATCCCACCCACCTTCCTCCACACATGACCTCTTCCCCTTCCCGCAGTCAGCTGGGCTGTTTGCAGGACTGAGGAGTGCTTCCATGTGTAAGGCAAAAACATAGAAAATCTTTCACGGGATCCAAGGCAGCTGGAAAGAAATGTGTCTCTGCTGCTTTGGAAACAGGGAGAGAGGACCCAGCCTAATTCATTTTTAAGTGAATAGTGTCATAAGGGCTTTAAAGGCCAAGTCGCGGTGAGTGAGGTAATGCAGCTGTAAGTGATGAAGCAAAAGCTCCTTCAGGCTTTAGCTTAAGAAATCTTTCTTTCAAGGCTGCACATTGACCCTGTTATTGAATACTCTGCATGGCCTTCGAAGCCTTTAAAATATCCCCATCTTTTTTACAGACTCCACCAGTACTCTGAGGTATTCCCTAGTGCCACCAAATACCTGCCTGTCTGCTTGCATATGGGGCCGCTAACAACCTCACAAAATAAAACCTTACTGAGATCTTGACCTACAGGAGCAGAGAAGGGGTCTTCGGGAGGCCACTGGCTTTGTCTGAAGCCACAAAACCACTTGGATGAGGGGCAGTACTGAAGCCTGAGGTAGGATTTCAGTTTTCTCCAGTAGCTGGTGCACAGATTTAACATATTCACAGATAGGCTGAGCATTTTAAAAGGTAGCAAAATACGCTTTTAACGGTCAAGCTGTTTCCAAACAGACTGAAAGGAGCACTGTGTTCATCAGGGACTAGGATGGCCTCTAACATGCTGCACAAAATATACAAAAGCTGCTTTCTTTCAAAGTGTGTTTGAATTGGCACTGACCTGGCACTCTAATACCTACCTGTACATAATCCACGCTTCTCCCCAGTGCTTTGAATGCTGTGTACATTACTTCTCTTTTTCCACCCCATTTCTGCATGATGCAAACACTTTTGTTGGACAGGACCAGCTGAGATACGTGTTGCATGCTCTCTCTGTGAGACTCCTCCGTCTCACCCGGACCTTTGTCGTGGAAGTTATTACTCCAGATATAAGTGGCAGATTTGTCCCTACCCATGATTTCAGTAAAAATGTCCATCATGTAAACGTCATCTTCTGAGTTCCCGTCAATGACCATAACAACTTTAATTCCAGGGTAGGTCAATCTTTTCACAGAAAGTAAACATTTTCTTAAGTAGTCAGGATCCTCTTGATAGGCAGCAATACAAAGGGCAACTGTTTTGTTCAGCTTGATTGGAGTCTCTAGCGACCGCTTCATTTTCCTGTGCTCTAGGAAGGCAAAAAGGCTTTGGATGATGAGATGTGATGCCAGGATAACACCATAGAGTCCAAAGGAGAAGTAGTAGTTGTCTGTTTGGATGAACTGGTAGCCCACGATGTAAGCAGCGGTGATTCCCAGCAGGAGGGACACCCCGAAGAGTGTGGTTCCAAGTATTCTCAGGATACATATAAACCTCTCACAATACATCTGCAAAGAAGCATGGAAACCATTAGCAGAGCCACCACTTGCTGATACAAGACCTCGTAAGGGGTCCGTGTGGCTACAACATAGACCGCAGCATCAACAGAAACACCCTGTGCTTCTGGCTGTGTCAGACTTACTGCATCACCTTGCTCAGCTTAACATCTCTTTGCAGTATTTCTTCCATGTAAAGTAAGATTCAAATACACTTAATGTAGTAGGGATGTTTTCTACTACTTGTAATGTCCTCACAGAAGGTGCTGTCTGTGTCAGCATCTTATTTTGGCAACCTAGGCTTGCTGAATGAGACGCTCTGTCACAGTATCCTGGGGAGGTTGCAGAAGGGGCTTTTGGGCCACCACTCACTTCATATGGCTGCAGGCAAGCGGAACAGCTGAATGTCTGGGCAGCCCCTCCTCATCCCCCATCCATGTCATGACTGCGTCCCACCCTGAATCGCTTCTGTCGCTTAGTTATGCTTGCAAAAATATTGGAAAGACATTCTTAAAACAGATGTCTGAATGTATTTATAATTTTTAAACAGATGTCTGACTATATTTATAATTTATATTTATATAATCAGACATCTGCTTTAAAAGGTCTTCTCAATACCACTGCAAAAATGTATTATTCATACATTTGTGTACATAGATATATGCACTTGTGAGCACGTGTGTATAGGGCTAAACCTTGACTGAGATTAAATTTGTGGCAAAAGCACGCATTAATTTAACAGAGCCAAGACTCCACCCTGGACTCAGAAATTCATTAGTACATCTGTCGATTCTGACAACTCCTGCATATTTAGGTTACCGATATTCAGGTTACCTGGCTTCTCCCTTCTTTAGGTTACCTATATTTAGGTTACTCGGGTTTCTAACCTAAGCTCTGGGTTATGGAGGAGCTGGCTGGCATGGAGGGTGCTCTGGTATTCTCGGGACAAACGATGTAGGCAGGCAGACAGGCAGAGTATGTTGCTACCTAACTGCTTTTTGTTGACAACCACATTTTATGTGAAAGCTTTCCCAGAATTACAGGCAAGTTAATGACAATGTTTCATGCCAATTGATGTGTTTGACATTAAGGTCATAGACCAGACAACGCCTGCTTAAGGCTAACCCAGCAAGCGCATTGCAAGGCAATGAATCTGAAACTCGTGCTTGAATATTTTGCTGAATTAGGGTCTCTCAGAGTAATGGACTTGATATTTGTGCTTTCTTACTACTATTCATACTTCCCCTGCTGCTATCATCTTGCTTGTCTGCTGATCATGTTTGTTTCACCATCTGTTGGCCAAAGCTCAAGTTGGAACAGCACTTCCTTACATCATATATGTCTTTAACTCTTTCTTGAAAAAACACTACCAAGCTGCAGCAGCATAGCTGCCATCAATTATATTTCTGTCTGAGAAGTTTCAGGCTTGGAAAAACAGAAAGTCAACACAGAATCACTTACAAAACAAAAATAAACCAGGCAAGCATAAAGACTGAAGTTACGAAGACTATGCTTTTTTCCACTGGCTATTGAGGGTCTTAAATTTCAAGACAGGGGGAAGCCTCTTAAATGTATATTTGGAGACACTGTCAAAGAAATCGGACCCTTTCTCTAGGACTTCCTCGAATACTTATGGCTGGGCTCTGACAGGTGCTGTAATCACCCCCCAGCCAAAGGGACCGTCCCTGCTCTGGCCTGTCTGAATGTCTTTCACAGCGGGGGTCACAGAGAAGCCTAATAAAAGACAGCTTACCCTGACCAGCACTATAGGTGAATTAAAACCCACTGCCCAAAATAGACTCACTTTAGAAAACAGATTAAGTAATGGATCCCCTCTAGATCACCTTGAAGTCAAATAGCCTGTGTGTTTATTAATCCCTCGAGCATGCAGAAGGTTACAAACATGAAGGTAAATGTGTCATTAAGGGCGAGGTTGTACTCTGCTTTCCCATTTGGGGTCCACTACTTCTCTTCTCTTGCCAGAAATAGAAAATTCCTATTAGTTGGGTCTACAGTCTGCTTACATTAAGAATTATATGACTGAAATCAATAGACCGCTTGTACGGGTAGAGCTCACAGGATTTAGATTAAGATCTGGCGTGTTGACATTTGACTGACTATATATTGTACTAGGCTTCTTTTATATTAATTTGCTATTGCTCTTTCTCTCCTATGAAGTGTTTCTGCAAAAAAGGGAAAAAAAGAGAAATGAATTCTCTGATCTTGTCATTACAGCACAGTTTCCCTCCCTTGCAAAAAACCAGTCTTTTAAGATCAAGAAATGGATTTCTGGTCTTAATAAAACAGCATTTTTTTTCTACGCTTTCACTGTCAACCTTGGGAAAATAAACTGTGTTTTGATCTAAATTCCTGGCTTTCATCAAAGAAACTTTTCCCTTTGTATGTGCAATTGAGGTTTTTATGTATAGTCTTTTAACTGACTGAATCTCAGGGAAAGTCTGGAAAAAGTCGCTCAATATTCTCAAGCTTTAGCGCGTGAGCTATTGATAACTTGCCCAGCAGAGCTGATCTTTATCAACTTGAACGTGCCCAAACAATGGCAAAGCAGCCAAAAGCTCTCCACCCTTCTCCAATAATTGAGCCAAGAAGTTAAAAGGAAATGACGCTTGTACGAGTCTAGGACCAAAAATGAACTGCTGAGTCAAATAAGAGCGCCGAGAGTGGTGAGTAGCTGGATCAGAGATTTTAAGGTCAGACAGTGCTGTTGTGAGTATCTAGCCCGGCCTAACACAGTGCACTGTAAAAGGACACCCTTAGTAAGACATCGGTTGAAATCCATTCCTGAAGTTTCCTGAACTTGTCACGTGAAGCTAGACTCAAGCATTATCAGAGAACTAGAGCACAGGACTGCGTTTTAACAGGGCAAGCCTAGAATAATGCCACGCTGAGACAAGGTGTAAGTGTCAAATGCTTGGTGAAGGAGAAGCACCCCCGTTAACTTTCAAAGCCACAGTCATTTCTCAGTCATTTTATTGATAAGCACTCTTTCTAAGTGCTAGCAATATTCTTTCAGAAAAATGTAATGGCTTATATTCCAAGTTGCCATCGCTACAGATGTACTCAAGAGCCGACTAATTGGCAGGAGGTACCATACACACCTTGTATGATCAGCGCAGCTAAGTGTGTTTTGTTGATGCCTCAGCCTAATGGATCTTCAGTTCCTGGAGGGATTTAACCCAGCAAGTTTGTCCGGGGAAATAGGCACTGCTGCACTTAAAACAAGAAAAAAAGCACCGCCTCAGCTAGGGATGAGGTGCTCAACACATGGAAGACCCGCAGCCATTCCATATTCCTGGATAAACAAAGATAATTGCAGGTCACTTCTGTATGCAGATGGAACTGCTGCTACATGAGAATGGGTGTTGGAGTGAGGAGAGGGACATGGCTCCTCAGCAAGTGAGAAGGTGAGTTGATGGGTTGCCTCATTCTCTCTCGAGTCAAACCTGGATGTTGCACTTTCTGGGCAGGTTTTTAATCAGTTCTGTAAAGCAGGAGGAGGAAATAGTGCCTGCAATGTTCTTTTTTTTTAAGAGTGAAAGCTATTTAGCACCAAAAGAAGTAGAAGAGTCCACTGCTTTGCATCAGCCCTGAAGGACATTTCCAGGGGGCAATAAGATTAAAGATTCAAGTTTTAAGTAAGTAGTTGCAGACACCTGTATATTAAAGCCTGCCCTGCCCAGGGCACTGGATGTGTCCGAGTCTTTTTGGAAGTGCCTATGTCCCCCATGTACTGCACAGGAAGCCTGAGACAGTACTGCTAATGCTACTCTGCAGCTCAGACACCTAAATCCCTTATGGACACCCTCACCTAACCCTGCGGTGCTGAACCCAGTACAAGCTTTACATGGCCTCCAGCAAACAGGGCCAAGGTTTGCATGCACAAAATGAGCGTACGCAGAGGCACTTCAAAGTCTACTGCTGAGCAATTTGTTGTCATGATCTTGCAGCTGTTTATTTCCATGGATGGGGCTGGTCAGTACTAATCAGCCCACCTAGTAGAAATGAAATATGAAAGCCATATGCTAAATCCTAATGCTATGTAGGCTGACACATTCTGATTCACCAAGCAGGCCCAAGTATGTATGTGCCTTGTAGCGACTGCACAGGAGGAGGCAATGTGTGCCTCTCTTTGGAGGCTCCTACAGAAAAGCATGGCCAAGAAATGAACCTTCCCATGTACTTGACATTAGAGCCTGCTCAGTGAACAGTTTGGCATTGTGTCTCTTTGGGCATCCTGAAAAAGCCACACAAAGAATATTTTTTTTTTGGTCATACCTGTGATGAAGGACAATTTACTCTACATTACTATTAAGAACTGGCATAACTAAAAGTTGTAGTCTTCTAACATTATTTTCATAAAAAAATTCAGTTTAACAAAGAGTTGACTGATACCTACACTGTACATATCATGACTGGGGTATTAACTCGAACACTGGCAGTCACACTCCTTTCTCAGGCTGAATAATGCCTTAGATCTCAAATTCGGAGAACATAGTAGGATATGCTTGAGTACTTTCTATTCTGAAAAATATTTAGGCCAGCATTTAACTGTAGTTATGGTACACGGATCTAATGGTAATAAGATCTAGACACGACTGAAATTCAGCAGGTTCTTATCTGGACTGGGTCTTTACTCCGCAAAGAGCACTGCTGACTTCCACGATAAAGCACCACTTTTCCCCCGCTCCAAAATCATATAGCACAGTCCATCCATATGGCTATTAATCTGCTTTCATACATCCCTGGGAGTAGCAGGACCTGGAGATAGTTCATCCCTTTGCAAAGTCAGGAGGTTAAGAGAAAAACAAGCTTAATTTGTTACTAATACACCAAGAGAGAAATAACAGAATAGGGGCAAATACATATCCAGAAAACCTATGCGTGTTGGTGTCTGAACACACCATTATTATCTGCAGTCCGTTCACTTATTCTGTACCAGCCATTGCATAGCTCCTATGGATGAGGCAAGCAACCAGGGGGTCCCCTGCATC